GTGTGTTTATTTTTTTTTTTTTTTTTCGAAGGACCTCCAACGGCCCCGCCGTGCACGGCGATTTGCCCGCAGCCGCGGGCGCTGCCCCTGTTATTCGCTCTCCCGCTAAACGGCGAAGCCGTTCGATGGGGATTCAACGGAGTTGAATCTATTCAACGGGGATTCAACTCCCGTTCAACGGGTTCAACGAGGATATAGCGGCGGGGTCGACAACAAACACCTGTTTTTTTTGTTCACGTCGCCGGGCGCTCGTGCTCGACGGCTGTTGCGCGCGGTCCGTTGAACCTCATTCAACGGGAACCGACCGTTTAATCGTTCAACGGGGTTTCAACTCGGGCCTTATGCCCGTTCAACGGGTACAATGGAGTTGAAAAAATCCCGTTGCCAGTTGAATGGACACACAGGCCTCCTACGTTCATGCCTCCCCCCCTTTGTTAAGGTCTTCACCCCCCGACATTGTCTGTGGAGTAATCGACACGGGCATTTGTGGTTCGTATCCCGTTGCCATGGAGGAAGCACAGCAAGTGCCGAGCCAGGTGCCACGGGCTGAGTCATTTACTCCTGCCTTGACGGGCCGTGCCCCTCATGACGTGTTGACACCCAACGACAGCAAAGCAGGGATGAGTCCCTCGCCTGCATCACCCCGTAGCAGGTCTAGTACGCCTCGCATGGGGGATGCGAAATGGGTGGGATGTAGAAAAGACCAGCAGCTGCACCTGAGTTCGATTGCAAGGTCTATGGGGAAGAAGTTGACGGCCATTGCTAGGAGCGTCTGGGACAAGCAAAAAAAACATCGTTCTTATGAGAACGTGTTTGATCAGCTGCTCGAGTGGAGTACTAGTCACGTTGATGAGCTCATGTCAACGTAAGGCCCAAGCACGGAGTTGTCTAGCAGAGGAGGTTCTAGCGGACGCGGGTCTGCGTCAGCTGAGACCCCACTGTGGCTACGCGGTAGACCTCGAAGCAATGCTTTGAAGTGGTGCGACGACAAAGACGGGTATGCGGACCTCGGTCCGATGTTTGAGAGGTTGACAGTGAGGGACCACATGGTGAAGTGGGATGTAAAAGCACGACCTGATGTCGTGTTTATTGAACCGGTGAAACTTCTTCAGATTCTTGGCATGTTTGAGAAATCGTGTCCTTAGCACGGCAAGGACGTTGAGGTGACGATCAAAATGATATCTTATCCTTGCCACATTTGCAAGTTGCAGTTCGAATGCACGAAAGGGTGCATGTGGCACTTGAGTTCCAGAAAAAATGTTGGTAGAGTGAGAGAGTCAAGGATTGAAACTCAACTGTTCCTATCCACTGTGGCGGCAAGGATGACGTGCACTCAACTGAACAACCTTTTAGTGGGCCTAGGGATGAGGCATGTGAGGGAAACAACTTTCTATATTTTCTTACGTGACGAGGGCAAAGGGTCGTGACAGTGGCTACGTCACGTGGAACGAGTTACACAAAGGAGCTTCGACAGGGTCATCGCACGTTTGCGAATATCAAATGATCCGGTTGTCCTTTTGGTAGATGGACGTTACGATTCGTCACGTGATGCGCAACATTGCGCGATGACGGCGCTAGATTTGAAATCAGGGATGATCGTGGGTACAAAGACGATGCACAGGGGAGACGAGTCAACATGGCGATTGGAATCGCTGTGTGTTGAAAAACTTCTACAATGGTTGAAGGATGAAAATAATTTGATAATCGCCGAGGTCGTGCATGATGATTGTGGCGCTGTAGACGTCATCTTGCGACGAATGAACATTGACTCTCAGAAGTGCATGTGGCACAGAACGAAGACTCTGATCAAACGTTTGCGAGAGGTCGTTCGTGCTACGAAAATTGTCACACCGTTTGTTGTCGGCGCTTGTGAGCATGTGCGCAAAGTGAAGTGTTTCACAAAGAAGGAGCTCGAGGAGTGGCTCGATTCGAAGGGGGTATGCGTGCAGCGGGTGGCAACGAAAAAGAACTTAAAGGATGAGCTGGTTGAAATAGTATGGGGTGTTCTTTTTCCCAATGAAGCAGGGAAACCATTGCCTGATCACGGGTGTTCGTGTTGTGCTTCCTGATGCGAATGTTGCTGTGCATGACAATGAAAAACCGATGTTGACTTCTGTCCCACTGTGGTTGTTGCCCGCGACATCAAAACATTGCGTTGATGTATGCGAAAAACTGTTGCGGCCGCGGATTTGACACAAAGCCTCCCGGTTTTCCAATTCTATGTTTTTTTCCCTCAAGGACGACACAATTGTTCGCACTCGGCAATAGGAAGTCGATAGCACAGTGCGCGCGCTGCTAAGGTCGGTTATCACGCTCTGAATATCTTGGTCTATTTTGTCGAGGTCAATGTTGACTTCGACCTCCCGTGGTTGTATTTTGTTCGGGTCATCCGGTGTCCACGGAGACAGTCGTCACATGCGCTCGTGGAGCGAAACCGTTTTTCATCCGTCGCGAGGTTCCATGACGCGCCTTCAGAACAATGGGACTTGATCTGCGAAAACATAGATAAGAAATACGAGAAGCGTGAACACATCGTCTAAGGAAGGGTAGATAACCTCATCGACCTTCTACCAATGACAATTTGGACATCAAATGCATCAATGTATCGGTGAATACGTGGATGAACATAGCACGTGACGAAACGGAACGTATAGACAGGAGGACGTTTCATCGCTTTCGACGAACAGGTGGATCGACGGACGAGTCAAATATTCGATGTATTCAATGTGTGGATGTGCGAGGGCGCTTTGAAAACGTGCTCATAACGTGAAACGTTTTGGATTGTATATATACAGGGTAACCGGCGTTCGGGAAGAGCCGAACGCCCGAACCCGAACGCCCGAACGTATGGGACCCCTTGGGGATGCGTTCGGCCGTTCGGGCCAAACGC